TGCCAAATTATCAGATGGGGTATCTGGTTCATGCTAAGCTAGTAAATCAGAAGATGTTGGTCGAAATCCTATCATGATTCAGGTGTCGGCTTCGCACCTAGTCATCTATCTATCTACGGGAGGTAATAAATATTTCCGCATTACACAATTAGCGGGGAAATTTTGATCATAATTTCTGAATACTCATCATATTGTATGATTCATATCACATCAACAAAGAAGCGAGCCAAAACAACATGCGATATGTACCCGCGTCTGATGTGAGTATACGGGTAGCGCCCTATCGACCAACAGTGGTCCCTAATCAAATTAACTTCACCTGAACACTGGATGTGTGCTTCATACGCTTAAGGACTAAATCCTCAGTATTGTACCCAGTTAATTAGTAAGTTTATCTCCGAAAAAAGAAATACACTACAGTATAGATACCTTACATCTGATAACCTTGATGAACTAATGTTTTGTGTATGTAAAATGCTGATAACAGTGATATTATAAAAAATATATGAACATTTTTCTGTCATACTAAATACATGATTTATTCCTTTAGTTTAGGTCAGTCATGTGACTTCCAGTTGAGGTATGAATCTATCATGTGATTTTGATATTTGACCTTGAATATATATCTAACACAATGTAAAGAGATCAGAGAACACGGTGTCATTTGCCAAATGTTAGTGCGACTTTAGGATCAGATCACGGCTTGTCCTTGTCAAAAACAAAAGCCACATAAACAATAATGATTGTGATATTTTATTTTATCGTCATTACACATCCATATTGCGTACATGTTTGATCGTGTTTGTCACAGTGTATCTCACTAACAAAAAGTTACATTGATGTACATTGTAGACTTTTCATCATCCTTTTTACGCAAGAATGCAATTTATTAGTCTATAAGATTCATGAATAAAGCTCAGTATTTGATTATTTATTAAATAATGTCAACGGGAAAGTGCAAATTGAAATGAATAATTATTGATACACAGGTTTCACAAGAGAGGTGACTCTTGTGGCCTAAGTGGTCTAGTGGATAACACTTTGGCTCTTGAAACAATAGGTACTGGTTCGAGTCTCAGTGGGAACACCACTCACTGAATAGGGAAAGGAGATACATTCAGATGATGAGTCACAAAAAGGACGAAATGGGCGTCGTGGATTTCAGTGTTAGTTACCACCCACCAGTTTACTTCAAGCTGAATAATCAGGCGTCGTCGAAGCATCTGCACAATCAGCCGATATTTCAACCTGACGCTGAGCACTTCTGCTCAATCAGTCAACTGCAAATTGAATGAAATAATTACTATCTATATTTATTATTATTTTACTGTATCAGTTTGCATGAGTATTACTAGTTTTAAAACTGACCAATCAGAAAATTACGAAAGCTAATTCCATATTTGTTTATGTATTGTTTTGATGGTATTAGATGGTTGGAGGCAGTCGGCCACAGGAAGCCTTAGACCTGGTTTTCGTGCTATTTGGCACTCTCCAGTCAACAAAGCGTATCTGCAACCCTGAAGGAACTCATGTCCCTTCTGAGATTCGAACCCGTGCCACCCAGTGCTACCATCAGTCAGAGACATGAGTTCCTTCAAGGTTGCAGATACGCCTTGCTGACTGGTGAGTGGCAACTAGCACGAAATCTAGGTCCAAGGGTTCCTGTGGCCGACTGCCCCCAACCATCTAATACCATAGAATCAATATGCACCGGGATGGTGAGCCACCTAGAATGGTGTCCATATTGCAAACCTGACTGACAGAATTCAGTTTGCACCAAAGAGAGGACTAGACACATCACACTAGTTACTAGTGTCAAATCAAAATATGTATTGCTTTCTTAAAGTTTGAATTGTGGCTGAAATACCTATTGTCCACTAGAAGTTTAGTGGACGAATTTGAGGTGAACTGATCTTTAACTAGGTGTAAAGTTGTTTTTATTGAAAAACTATGCATCAGTATTCTGTTTAACATGGAGTGTGGCGACAACATCACTGAGCTGGTATTCCTTATCTATTCTAGCTGATTGCTGTAAGGTAATATGATGGTAGTGATGTTGATTCATGTCTTTAAAATATTAAGATGTCCATATTGCTACTTTACTCTTCGTTTTCTTCTACTAAGAAAAACATGTAACGTATATCTTGTATCCTGTATTTCAAACAGAAATCCGAAAAAAAATTGAGCAGTTATACCAGAATTAAATACATGGAAGTTAGAATTGTATACCCAGTTAACCCTGAGTATAAATGCGGAATGGACAGAGGCTAACAGTGAGCATGATTTTTTATTCAACAGAAGTCAAATACAGAATTGGTTAGAATGGTAGATTAAAACATATCTACTTCACAGTTTTCACTTATTTAATTCTGCTAAACTAGAAAACCAGGTAAAATAAGACACTGGGTGCACCTGAGTATTCTGTATAGAACAGATTGTCTAGGTTCGAATCCCGATGGGCGCATACTGCTGAAGAGTCCCAAACTAGGATGAAACAGCTGCCCAGTACTCCCTGTTGATTTTCCAATGGTTCTCTAACTAATGCCAGCTCATGATGAAATCCTGTAATCATTAATTTATCCTTATATGGTGACACATACATACACTCTTACAGTATTTTCTCTCCCTGTTTTTTATGTTGACATTCATTGACATATGAAATTTATAATTAAACAGAAGAAAAAAAACCCAATTTGAATATCAACAATGAGCATTCCTTATCATATATTTCTTGTTATTCATAATCATTTACTTTGATATCTAACGTTCATTTTAGTACCATATTTGTGCATATTATCACATTACACATGTTCTGACCATTCAGCAAATTAGACAGGAATTCAGTGATGCGTGAATCATAACTTCTAGTCGACGAGTTGACCTTATACAACCCTAAGATCCTGGTGGCGTCATGCGAACGCATTACTAGACAGATTCCAACTAGGATAATACGACTGTCTGATGCTCTCTAGTTTTCAATAATTCTTTAACTGCTGTTGACAAGTGACGAAATCTAAACTGAAATTAATTCACATCTCTACAAAACCCATAATCTAGTGATTTTTTAATTAATATAGGTATATAATAGTAGAATCTGAAGACTAAGTCATCGAAAAGAGTACTCTTTGTTCACTAATCATCGTTTTAAGACTACATCATTTGTTACATTTTTCTCTTCTCATAGAAGAGGATAAATCTGGAAAATCAGTATTATGAAGTAAAAGAGGTATAATTTTTTTTCATGAACATCATTAAATGATTCAAGGAAGAACAATCGTTTCCCGCCTGGGGTCTTAGCTCTGACTGACTGGATTCAACATAGAACCTTGCGCGGATGTGTAGCAGCTCGAGTCACCACATTCCATGTAGCATACAAAGCAAGGGAAGAAAGTAAAAAGAAATGTAAAATACAGACAGTAAACAGAGATATGAGGTAAAATAATAGTATTATCGAACGACAATATAGTCTCGCTGGGTATTATAAGTCACAAGGAGTGAATGCATCTACACTAGCCATTGAGAACGATTTTGTGACATATCACCGACGGTCTCCAGCCACTGATGTTTACCGTCCCGAGGACCCCAACCAGCCAGTCTTCACCTCCCTAAGTGGCTAACTTAAACTAACTTTTATGAGTTTCATTGAAGCCATGTTTTGGTTTGACTACCACTGGCTCTTTCCCAACCTAAACCTATGTCAGCTGACTCACATTGCTCATTGTCGAGGAAGGCGATGGCTAGGGGTGCATGCGTAACACATGTCCTAACCTTAGTCGATGCAACCTCACAGCCTCGTCTATTGATTTCCCCTCGCAACTTACTCAGCACTGGACCGATGTCTCACCTCATTATTGCTCAACTTATCATACCATTTCACACGGGAGATAGAACGCAGGCACCTATGACCACAGACAGCTAGCTTTTTCATGTCTTCCACTTTCAATCGTCATGTTTCGCAGTCAGCCATAAAGCAGGATGGAGTGGACTGCTGAGGAGTACACACGTCCTATGGTTGATAGCCGGAGATCATGTCTACAAAGCCAGAGATGGCGTAAACTGGCATATGCGAAACTAGACATCTGTATCCGCCATGCTGAGATTTCGTCAGCGATCAACTTGTTGGCGTTGGCTGATGCAAATTCCCAAATAAGTGAAGTGGTCAACACGCTCCACAAACCACTTCACTCCCTATTACTAAGCTAGGAGTCAATGTAGTCGAGACTAGTCCCGTGGCATCATCTTACATTTGGTGGGAGCGAATCGCATCTTTAACTCTATGGTCAATAGAGCTATCCACCAAATAAGTTCGTCATTCATTATTTTCAGCTACAGTCTTCAGGTGCTATTAGTTAAAACACATTAAATCACTTCTATAGTTAGATTTAAACCTTTTGACTTCTCAGCAAGTGGAAAGTGTAATGCTGACAACTTGAGGACCACTTATCTGAGTCACGAATCAACACAATACTTTACCGTAAATCGATAACTGACAATAACCCTTCATATTTCAAGTTTAGTCAGCAAACAGTATATTTTATCGATAGAATATAACACTGCAATTTCTATTTTGAAACTTTTCATTTGAATGTACGTGCGGACTCGAACATATTACGAAGGTGTTCTTCGTTAGCCTATGAACTACAGTATTCTCGATTGGTAAAGAAACGTAAAACGCAGTTAATTTATGAACATAACTTTATTAAATATTATTGGCAATAATGATAATGGTAATAATAATTATAACATAATAAAATCTGTTTGTTTAACACGACAAAAATGGGAACTTTTAGTTGAATTCGATGCAAGGAACTGGGATCGGTGGGGATAAATTCACAACACAACAGAAATAAGCGAAAAAAGGGATAGGAGGGGGGATAAATCTGCGCCGTGTTAAACAATAATAATGATAGGAGCAGGCGGAAACAATTTTTGAACAATATTTTTTTGTTTTTTTTAATGATATGATTTCATCAAAAAACAAACTATCCAATTTCCAACACATTCCTTAGCATTATTGATCTTCTAAAATAATGAAAAATAAGAAAAGTAAAATGAATTAATTGGTATAAATTAACATAGATCTAGTATATACCATATCGCTTTTTTTGAAAAAATGAACAACACTTCTTGAAATATGCAAACACTTCTTGTTTGAGTGCTAATGATACTATCCGCTTACGCATGCTGTTGTTGAGGCGACATTCGAGCCCTGGACCAACGGGTTAGAAATGGAGTAGTTTATCCGATGGACTATAGTTCCACCGATGGAATAGTATCACATATCACATTTCCAATCGTCAGTTCATCGCCTAAAACGATGCACTAAGTACATGTCTGCACTAGTCAGATACAGTTGGAATAATTACCTATGCATATAAACTATTTCGGGACAGTTGAGAGTAACCGTGACAAAGAGCTATGCATTTGACTGATGTTGGCTAACAGTGGAGACGCTCTTTTTTCTTATTTGTGACTCATCCACTGTATGCCCTTGCCCAAGTGAAGGTCTGTACAAAAATACAGTAAATACATAAGCTTCACATAGAGTAAAATACCGATGACCTTGACCGGAAAAAATTCACTTTGACCTGTCACCTCCCTGTGTATACACCATGCATATGTTTATATTAATAATCTTAGTCACTGAGGTGATTCATCTAGGTTACTAGGTTGAATTTCATTTCATAAAGCAGTCAACTATCACGAATGCAGATATAAACAAGTAAACAAGTAGAAAACATGCTTTGTTTATTGTATTTTATTATTTGGTTAACTAATAAATAGGTAAGTAAACATGTTTAAACAAAAATATTTTCAGACTGGACAATATATATATGCCTCTGGAATAGCGTTTAGTTTCCAAGTTTAGATTGAAAACCAACCTATAATTATGACTGAATTTAATGTTGGCAACACACGAATTAGATTGTTAGATTGTCTTAGTAACAAAATTGACTAGAACAGTGATGACTTGAACAAGTGGTATAGTGACACCAAATAAGACAAACTAAATATTAAAATGAATAGTGATTTGATTAACATAAGTCAATCCACACTACTCAATCATACTGTAAGCTTAAAGTGACTGCATTTCTGTGTAGCAATATTCTGTCATGATTAGTGTATTTTCATTCCCGTTCTCCAAGTATCGATGTGATTAGAATTCTACTTTTCAGTTGGAGAATTTTATTAGCGTAACAAGGTTGATTTCTTCACCAACTAAATTAGGTTAAGTGACCATTTGAAACTCTTCAGCAGAGAAACGTCATGTTAGGCGGCAGTCAAGTTACCATGGCTCCTGAACTATAACTTTTGTCAATATACAATATACTGCTGGTAACACTGAGCTTGTAACTCTTAAGTCTCGTGTGGTCGACCGTGGTGAGGTTATGGCTGCCCACTGGTGATGATTTCGAAGCTAGGAGATACCTGATATTGTTTTGTGACCAAATAGGAAACAAACCAACAATTGAGGAAGTTTAACGGTGAAAATCATGTTCGAGTTTTGTGGGTAATAAAACTATATGGGTGTATTGCTGAAACTCGCTAGAAGACCGATTTCTGTGCAAACAGTATCAGCTTATTAAGTGGACAATGGAGATTACTTAGAGCTAATGTGTAATTACAAACATATGGTGGAGAAGTGAACTAATTCATACACAGGAAGACAATTTAAAGCTTGCTGTGAGTTGCTTGGGTAATTCTTATTTCAAGTATGCTTATAATTACATAAGGATAAGCAATTTCTTTATCACTATTATTATTATGAAGACAACATCTATTCAGCTATTATCCCACATGTCAGTTTAAGCACGTGAGTCATGAGGGAAAACATTGTTAGAATACAAAGGCGTGTGTGTGTGTATTATATTAGGGAGTTATCTTTGTCTGTCTCAAATTCAATATGTGTCTATATTTGATATAATACACGTGCGTAAACTGATTGAGAACAAACAGACCTTTTAATTAAGAAAAATGCATAAAGACCAGATGGAATAAACATGGGGAGGGGGAGTAAAGATAAAAAGGAATCCCACCATATGGTACAGAAATATAAGGGACGAATTTTCCTCCTTTTAATTAATTATAACAAGGATAGAGGTATGAAGGGAGAGGGGAGAAATGGGCACGATCCTTTCTTTTGCTCTGCCAATCAAAAAACTATTGTGAATAAAGGAATATTTTCCAGACTTAGCAGGGGATTGAATTAATCACATACAGCACAAAGGAAATCTAATTATTCTATACATCTGTCTTTATTTATTATTCAAGTAAATGAGTCATGCATAGTCTTTTTCTTATCCCCAGCGGATTACTTAGGACGTGCTTGGTGAAAATAACGGAAAATATGAAGGGAAAAAATGCAATAACAAATTTATTTCTTATGGGAACTTGTATATGGGATGCTGCAATAGATGTCTTGTTAGTTTCAAGGATTGATCTTATATCCCAGTAGCTTAATATGTAATGGTTTAGCTACGAGACCGTTACAGATTGGAATGAAATGAGCATTTTGAATTCCATTGTTAGCCACCACTACTTCCTAATAACATTATAACAGTGAAGTATTTGCTTAACTTGTATTTTCGATCGATAATAAACCAATAAGATTAAGCAAATGAACAGTTAGTAAGACTTCATTTGAAGTATTGCTTAACTTGTATTTTCAATCGATAATAAACCAATAAGATTAAGCAAATGAACAGTTAGTAAGACTTCATTTGAAGTATGTGCTTAACTTGTATTTTCGATCGATAATAAACCAATAAGATTAAGCAAATGAACAGTTAGTAAGACTTCATTTGAAGTATTTGCTTAACTTGTATTTTCGATCGATAATAAACATTTGAATGAGATTTTCACTACTTTTACGTTTACAACTGAAGTTAAAATGCTCTGGACAGTAATATAATTTAGTTCAGAGACAAAACTGACCGATAGAACTCGGGTCATATATCGTAGTAGCTAATTTATACTTAATATACTTTTTTTATTTTTTTTTAGTATTTATACTTATACTTTTATATCAGATTCTACGTGCATTTATTACTCAATACATGTCATCATAAGAATAAATAATATCTGCATGACAAGAAAAGGTAGACTTAAAGAAACTTACCTTCAATTTAAGGAATTATCATTTCATTGATTGCCGTCGTCTTTTAACCGCAAAGTAATCTACAGAATAAAAAGCATAAAAAGAGAAAATTTTAATACTATAATATTACTTTGTTTCACAACTGAAATAGAATGGCTATCTAATACAGGTATACACTAGTACTACAACTAACACCATTAGTTTTCTAATAGTTGTTCTCTATCGCATGCAACGAGCAATCTCTAATATGTGAATTAATGTATTTATTAGTATGAATTTATTTAGAACTTAGTATACTCTTGTCCCCTATACTGCTAAGCTTCAGTAAAAATCTTGGACTACTTCTTGAAGAAATCAGACAATTACAAACTTATTTCTACTTTCCCTCATCAATGTCTCATTTTGTGTATAGATTTACGGATCCTAGATTTTGCAGTCCATTTTTTCTAGAATTAAAAGTTAATTAAGTAAAGGCTTTCCTACTTCGTTTTTAGGCACTTATTATAATTTGTAAGCCAGAACGTTAAGATGAAGGTATGTTATCACTTAGTGCGGTGAGAGTAAACAAAGTATTATATACTTTGAATTGCACCAAGTGATTACTGGTGTAAAACCATGTGCTCATGTATAATGCCAAGCTTTCACTATACTACTGTTGCCTTTTCATCATTTTACCTTCATGTACAGTGGACACGATTCGAGAAACATAATTACTAGTATACTTCTTAGGGCACTAGGCATGTTTTGATGGATAACTCCTGCAGAAAAACAATAATGAGAAATATACTGAATGGATAAGTTTGTAGTAAGATTGGGCACGTGTCATATAGTTGTCTGAGTAAACAGATTATTCATGGTTGTACTTTTTCCTGTCATTTATTCGGACACGTTTACTGCAGCCGGTTATTAGCAATTAAGAGGAAATGTCTTATAATGTTGTAAAGTGCAAGCCTGCTATTAATTCATAAGATGTGGTGATAGCACAACATATGTAAAATAATTAGCTTAAAACTATAAGTCAACTGTTTTGCCCTATGATTGATCAACTATGATAAACAAAGTGTAACCAATCAACAGAGGAAAGTAAGGAAGGAAAAGAAAAGATTTCTCTCCAATCCTACATTACACTACTCAAATACTAATTTAAAAAAGTCAAAAGTTATACTATCATAGAGAGAAAAAATTAGGGAATTACCTGTCACTTTAGGTCCGGACTTCTTTAAACTTAATCGATCAGATTTAATCAATTTGACTGAATGTTGAGGAGGATTTGAGCTAGAAGCCAATAAACCATGATTGTTGTTGTCCGAGCGAATTATGATTGGTGTAACAGGTATTACTGATGACTTGACAACGCTTGTTGATGACAAAGGCAAAGATGATGAAATATTCTTCTTACATGGTGTTGATGACGATGTTGGAGGTGGATGGGACACAGCAGTCGTTGTATCTAAACACATAGGGATAGGCTTTTGATTATCATTGAGCACATCATTATTAGTAAAGTTATTCGGCAAAACAACTGTGTAAGGATATTCCCCGATTTCACTTTGTGTATTCTTTTAAAAAGTTCCATATGCGTTTTTTGTGCTACTGATACTGGAAGACGTCGGAATGCCTTCAGCTTCCTTGGAGACCTGGTATAGAAGCTTGGAGCTGACTGAAGAGGTTCCAAGATGAATTCGTTGGTTTCTTGCTTCTGCACATTTCCATTGTGTAATTGATGAATGGCAAGAGGTTTACGAATTTTCTTCTCTGGTAAGATGCTTGACGGCTTAAAATTCCATTTATTTTGGAAACGATCCAAATCTTTGTGTATAATCGTCTCCAACGTTTGCTGAATTCGTATACGTGATACAGGTTCGCCAAACAATCTTCGACATAGCTGAACGGGTGCAGTAACGCCAGTACCAACCGACATTTTGCTGACAAGTAACAATAAACCTACCTGTTCAGTCCGTAGTTTATATACTGGGAAATAGCTTTTAAATGATTGGTCGAAATAGTACTTAAACCTGATTGGTCGACGGGGGAAAATTTCTCGATTTTCATACTACTGAAGAACTATTTAAGTAAGAACAAATTATTTAAGAAAAATAATACGAATATATATATCATTCTGAAGACACATGAAAAAAGACTGCGCTTTTCAACAGATGTAAGTAGTTCTCACTGACTCTGCAAATATACTAAAAAAGTTCCACACACCTTATTAAAACTTAATAATATTGAATGTATCACTTCGGAATGAGATAAAGTAAAGTCCTTACCTCTCTGTAGGGAAACTTGCTGTTTTCGGCATTCTTCAAAACATTTATTCAAAAAAGAGAATAAGACAGACATTATAAGTATGTAGTTACAAATCTACTTCACAAAACTGAATGGCTATTTTCATTCTTCCTATCATTAATGTATTGTTGTCTCCGTTCTTATCATTTTTGATTAATTAATTATTACTATTACTGTAAAAATCATTAAATCCCTGAATTCACCTTTAATTATCATCATTGAATTATATAAACCAAAAAGGTAGTAGGCATCTCTATCGATGATTAATAAAAAGGTGATGAATCATAATAGGTATAAAGAATACTGTCAGTTGCACACATTTTCTTCAACTTCTCATTGTCTCTTTAAGCTGAGAAGTAGCATGCTAGAAACAATAATTTACTGAAGTCATGTTTACAGTAATTGTCTAGGTTACTGCCTGGTGTCTTAACAACTCATCTAAGAGACCGACAGTGTAATGTAGTAAGTTGGAGACTGACAAAAAGTTAATCTTTTCGAGATATTACGGTTCACAATAGTATACAGAAAAGAAATTTTACGAAAAAGGATGATGCTGAATTTAATAACAGTGATGAGACACTGGAAACACGAATCATGGAAAGATTTCAGAAGAAAGCCCTACTTCTTGGACAATAAATAAATTATACCCTAGTAAATAAGTCTGAATTTCATAGCACTACCTTCCTATGTGCTGATGATTTCAAGTAGCCTATTGATATGACTGCACCACTGGATAAAAGATAGCTGGATATATGTGACTCATATGTCAAATATTTCTATCGAAACAGATTCAAAACTCATCGACCTATTCACATATCATGTGTCCGAGGAGCAGCTCTCGACTTAGATTTGACAGATATGAATGAAAAATTCATAGAATTTTGTGTAACACATTGAAGAAATCCGAATTATTTGAACGTTCTTCATCAAACAGTGGAGTTTTAAATAAGAAATTCAACTCGAATAGGTCGCCGATAACAACTATCTCCATCAGCAAGGGAATAGTGACCTCATTTATCTCCACTACTAATAGTACTTATCTTAGTATTCGGGGAGATATTGTTCACCGACTTAGGTAGTGGATTTTCAGCGGGAGGATCCCAGTTCCGATTCTTGCTCCACCTACTTCAGACTACGTAATATCACCAACTCCCACACTATAAATATGGCTAATAGCTTGGTACATAAAAAATAACTGAGATAATCAAATCAAAAAGTTAGTATTATGAATATATTAAATATACATCTGAGGAACTATTGTAGATAGTAGTAATCAATATGAATGTTATCAAAGTCATAGCTAGCTACATATCAAACCCTGACACAGCTTAAATCACTACTTGGTGAATGTAGTAGATATAGTGACATGCATGCAGAAAATGTTAAAGATGCGACTTCTCTACAAGTGATTCTTGGTTGTTTATCAGAAGTAGATAAAGCAACAGTAGATAGTTCTGATACCTATACAATTTAAAAGTTGTTTATTCCACACTAAAAAGCCCGATATCATTAGAAATAAAGATTTTCAGGGAATTCAAGTATTGGCTTGCAGAAATTTGATTTGATTGGTTACAAGATTTCATCATGAGCTGACATCGGTTAGAGGACCATTGGGGGACAACCAGGAAGTACTGGATAGCTGTTTCGTCGCAGTTCCGAACTCTTCACAGTACGCACCCACCTCAATGGGGTTCGAAATGAGGACCTTCCGATTACACGACGAGCTCACAGACCGTTAAGCCATCGGGACTCTATCCACTGGCCCATAAATTTCAATTTCTGCCAATTTACGATATAGTGTGACTATTTGTCCTCACACCCGACCTACTGTACCCTACTGGTCACGACTACCCACTAGAACCCAGGTAACTACCTGCCTGAATAAGGCCAGTTGCTAGGGTATCTAAAGTGATTATCTAAACAGAAAACTGTAATATTGGTGATATGTAAAGTAAAATAAATTTAAGATTAGTATACATATCAAGAGGAGAAAGTTTAATATTTTTCTACACACTCACAATTCCATTTAGTCGTATCCTCTGCAAGAAATTAACATATTCAGATGTTGGTTTGTAGGGATTTGATTGGTTACAGGACTTCATCATGAGCTGACATTAGTTAGGGAACCATTGGAAAACCTGGGAGTACTGGACAGCTGTTTCGTCCTAGTTCGAATCCCGGTGGGTGCGTACTGACGAAGAGTCCCAAACTAGGACGAAACAACTGTCCAGTACTCCCAGGTTTTCCAATGGTTCCCTAACTAATGTCAGCTCAAAATTAACATATACTATTTTCAGTTGTTACTCTCATTGAGTTGGTTTGTATGAACAGCAGATTGTATCTAAGCCATTAACTCTCTAGACTACCAAAGACTTCTGTATTCCACACTCAAGAGTTTTTCCATGTTAACCAGCTTAATATCTTTTCAGTTATTGTAAAGTGTTTAGTTAAAAAAATAAAACAGTCTCTAAACTGATTAATAATCAACCTTTTTCTAGTAATAAATATTCTCTTCTATCTTTCATATTAGATGAGTGAGGTTCAGAAAAAGACATGCACAAAAGCATCAATGTTTTGGATTGGAGAAAAAAAAAAGAAAAGGAATTATTTCAAGCAGTAATTGTTTGAAAGACAATTCAGATGGATTAGTTTAGTTTTCCTCATCTATGCCTAGGTTATGGTGTATAGCAATATTGTCGACTCTCATTTTCGAGTGACCAGTCATATCATGTTAAAAAGTAGGCGAGGATTAGAAAAAGTGAAAGAGAAAAACAAAGCATGCTTACACCTTATTGTACTTCAAAGCCATCACTGATGCATTTATGTTGCTACCTCCTGTCTGAAGTGTATAATCCATTGTGTGTCAGACTGTTATTGACAGGTTAGAGTGAAGTTAAATATATTGATTTTTCACTAATTACTGAAAAAGACTTAATCATTTATATGTGTCTATCACAAACTGTTGGGAGGGCATGTGAAAGTAATGGTGACTGTTAACTTGAATCAATTATTTATTGTACTGGTTGAGAAGATAGTAATAATACAATGACAGTAATTGTATAAAATTGATTTATTCCTGTTTTTCTAAGTTTTCTTTCTATTGTTCATTTATCATTCTATATCGTATCACTGTAGAAGAGAACCACTCACTTTTTAGCTTCAAAGAATATTTACTGTATAATTGTAATTTCTCATGTATTCTTACTTTGATGATAGCAAAGTTATTCAGAAATCTAGTTCACTCGTAATCGTATAGATCTGAATACTTTGGTAACATTTCGGGTACCATCAGATCAAATAGGACCAATTTCAATGCAGCTGAGTGCCTTTTATTAATTTATATTCTTGAGACGAAAGTGACGATATTTTAGCATTAAACAAGTAGTAGCAGACATGATTAAATGATTTAATTCTCAAGAGTTGGTTTTTAAGGGCTAAATTTGGTTTTGCTAGTTTGACACCCACGGATTGATATCAGTTAGAGAACCGTTGAAAACCAGCATTGGAGTATTGGACAGCTGTTTCATCCTAGTTTGGGAATGATCGCCAGTACGCACCCACTGCCAGGGTTCGAACCCAGGACTTTCTGGTTACAAGGTAAGCTAGCTCGCATACTATTCAGCCACTGGGACCCGATTCAATGGCCAGCCCATGAATTCTAACTTCTACCAATTTGAGCTTGCCTTTCTAACCGGAATGTCCTGCGTTCGAACCCTGGGAGTGGGTGCGTACTGGCGATCATTCCTAAACTAGGATGAAACAACAGCTGCCCAGCACTTCCTGGTTTTCAGTGGTTCTCTAACTGATATCAATCCGCGGTCAAATTCGTAAAAATAATGATTAAATGAAACCAGCAGGAAACCTTGAAAAAACCATTGTGACAATGCTGACGATAACGACTGCTTTTCAGAACAAAATGACCCATACTTTACTATGTTTATGCAACTGTTTATTCAGTTTTCTCTAGCTGCTTAGAAATGTATTGAGTGTATAGCCTGTTTATCAGTAAATTATTGAAATAAGGTGTAAGAAGAAATACACTAAAACACACCTTGTTGATTTAAGTTTATTATTATGAATTTATGTGCTATTTACAATGTTGACTGCGATGTAATTTGAAAAGTAATTCAGCACCATGGAGTGCAGTACCCAAAATCTTTATCAGCTTCACTCGACGGCTATATGGCAATGACTCGTGTCAGGTGATCCACAATGGAAAACTCAGTAACACGTTTGAAGTGAAGACAGGAGTAAGACAAGGCTGCCTATTATCACCCACGATGATATTCTTAATTGTGATGGACTGGATCGTGCGTCAGTCTGTGCGTGGGGAATGAGAAGACAGGAATACGCTGCACTGACCGATAAGAAGACTCAAGAAGATCTGCATTTCGAGGATGATTCGTGTTTAATCTCACACAAACTCGAAAACTTACAGGCGAAAACCAACGAACTGACTGAAGAAGTAGATAGCGAAGACAAGACTTCAGGTGAACATAGAGAAGACAGAGGTGATTAGATAACCAATGAACCGAAACTACAACAACAGCCGGCACCAATCGCCACCAACGGAAGAGATTTGGCAGAAATAACTTCCTTCCTTCACTTATCAAGGCAGCGAGCATCGTTTCA